CTCAGCTTTGTGGTGTTGCAGTAGCAAGGGCTTATTATAGAAGGTCGATCTGCTGTCAAGTCATTGACGTTAGCATCGTTCTCTTAACTGGCGGAAATGGCTTGCGCAGTCTTGCGGCGAGTTCGGGGGTTGTTGACGGCCATCTCCCTAATTGACGCGAGCGAACAACACATTGAGTTGCGTCCAACATTACTTGACTCGTTTCTGGCTGACTTGCTGATGATCTTTTGTGTGAGCCTTGTGAGGATGTACATTTGTATGTGTAGCAACATGCATTCAAAGGTCTGATGTTATAAGACTTCACATGCCGTCCAGGTACATCTCGTCCTGAAAAAGCGCTTTGTGTGTGTGTGTGTGTGTGTGTGTTGGGGGCAAGTTTGCTGATAACAGAGTAAAATCAACGAGTATGAAGCCCATGAAATCTCACAAGGTCAATTCGAAAAAACAAAACAGGTCCAACAGGTTGACGACAAAAAGACCGAAAACAAAAGTCCGGCAGCAACAAAGCCCCAAAGCCAAAACGGCTAGCACTCATAGTTGGGAGAGACGGCGTGGGTCAGGTTGATGGCAAAGCCAAGCTCAACGCCCCGCTTCAGGCGGTCAATCGCCGATTGCAAATCTCGGCACCCGCCCAGAATACGGTTCTCCGCCACAAAGTCTGGCAGGTTCTCCCGAAGCTGCAGCCGATAATGCACAATCCGCTGATCCTGCACTCCCACCACGCTCACCACATACGACTCCCGGCATCCGGCCACCGGCTTGTGTCGAATCAGGTACGACCCTACCGGCGCATGCAGCCCCAACAGCTGCTGCTCCGCCGCCACACGGTTCAAGTCACACACAACCAGCCGCTGCACCGAAATCGTCCCAGATCGCTGACGGCCCACCGGCCCCGGCTCACCCCGCTCCGATCCAGGCAGCGCCCCCACCCCATCGCCAGCCTCACGCGCCACGCTCTTCTCATCCTCTTGCCCACGGCCAGCCGGCTGCTGAGCACCGGAGCCCTCTGGCACCGGGCTTCGCCGACGCCGCGCACGCGGCCCTAGGTCACGCGACAGCTCGTAGGAAACGCCCGTTGCCTCATCTCGCCACTCTCCCGCCGATGCGGCATCGCCACTCGCCCCCGTTCCCGCTCCTGCACCCGTCGATGATGCCGGGCGCTCCAGCGTACTGTGCGGGCTCGATCCTGGCGTGCCACTGGGACTGCCACCCTCCCGCTCCATGGGCCCAACGCGGCCAGGCAGGCGAACAGGCTTCGAGGCCACCACCGCCGCCGCCAATGAGGGCACACCAGCCGTCTCATTGGCCGATCCCACCCGGCTAGGTGGCTGGTCCAAGCCCGAGGCCAAGGGCACTGATCCGGCAGCAGGTTCCGGCTTTGACTCAACCGCCGGCGATGTCGCAACATTTGGTGTCTCAAACGTCGCAAGGCCACCCGTTTCGTCCGATGCCGAGACCCCCTCAGGGAGATCGTCGTTGACCAACTCATCCCGCCTCGCCTCCTCAGCGTCATTGCCACCACCATCAGGCGCAGGCGGCACAACAAAGTTCACCAGCGCATTGTTTGCTCCACTGGCCACACTCTCCATCTCGGCACCAGGCATCGCCACCCTCGCCTCATCCGCAGTCCCTGCAGCAGGCACGTCCTCTGCCTCCGCCATCGATGTCTCATCCTCCACCATCGATGTCTCATCCTCCGCCGTCGATGTCTCAGCCTCCGCCGTCGATGCCTCTGCCTCATCTTCCACCATCGATGCCTCTGCCTCTGTCCCGCTCACAGGTGTACATTCGTTCGGGTTGGCATACACATCCATCCCCGCCAGACGCCGAGGGCCATCAGACACCTCCGAGTAATCGGCCGTCTCCCCCATATTCATCATCGCGTCCATTCCAGCCACTTCAGCTGTTCCGTCCGTGCCCGCCGTCGCAGTGCCCCCAACAGCTCCAAGATCCAGGGTGTCGTACTCGTTCCCCGTCGCTCCCGGCTCCCCTGCTCCAGCTCCTCCTGACCCAAACGGGGCCCAGCCGAAGCCGGCTTTGTTCAGCTGGTCATACTGGCCATTGCTCTCGTGCATCGTGAGACTGTCTGACATCGACACTCCCGCGCCCGCAGCCACCTCGCCGTCCCACGGCGACGCTAATGTACCCGAGTTCAGGTGATCATAATGGCCCGCAACCGATCCGCCCTCGTTGCTCTCACCACCGCCCTGGCCCTTCACAAACTCGCACCGTCGACCCCAGACTGCTGCTGCCAGTCGCACTCAAGCGATCATACTGGTTCTCCGCGCCAGCCGCAGGCTCATATCCCCAAGCTACTGCCGAATGGTCCAGCGCGGAATACAAGGCCTGGCCGTACGAGGGGTCACCCTTGTCCGATCCACCTACCCCAGAGCCTCGACCACTGCCCGGTCGCAACGTCTCCGAGTCGGGATCCGCCAGCGGCTGCCCATACAGCGGATTGTCCATCAACCCCAGCGGGCTTGAATGCAGATCCTGCTTCACTCGCGCCACTCGCGCCCGTCGTCGACGCCGTACCCACACCAGCTTAATCACCAGCAACACCAGCCCAATCATAACCAACGACGCAAGCACAATCACCAGCACCGTAATCATCGAGCCCCCGCTCTCCGATGCCGCCCGTGACGATGCCGACCCCTCCGTCGTCTCTGCACGCCGCGTCGACGCCGCTCCTCCACCCCCCGACGTCATGCTCTCATACTCTGCCAGCGACACAACCACCGCTGACAACGACGAGCCCGTCCCGTTGACCGCCTCCAGGCCCGCCAACCACGCCTCCATCTCCGCCACCGATAGCCACGCCCACGTCGTGCTGTTGCGCACCGCAAACCCAACCACGTAGCTGCTCGTCGTCGATCGCCGCTCTTGCCCAGCCGTGGTCTCCGTCTCCGTCTCAGTCGCATTCCGCTCCGTCTCATTGACCAAGCTCGTGCGTGCTCCCGGCATCTGGTTGTACGGCAACGGCCATGTTCCAGCCGGTACGACCGAGACAACAAACACATGCGGTTGCCGCAGGTGCGTCCGCAGCGATCGCTCCTGGCTCGCCACATCCACAGGCATGCGCGCCAGCGGCGCCACAAACACATTTTCACGCGGCGGGGCCTCAAAGCGCTGCACCTCAATCTCCACCTCCTCCCGAGCCACGTTGTTGAACCGGTCCCGACAGACATAGCTCACCGTGTAGTTGCCCGCACGCTCCCCCGACACCTCCGCCGCTCCCTCAACTGCCACGTGCGCCGTCAAGTTGCCGTCGTGCGCGTCCATTGCCGTGACCCTGGGAACGGCCACCTGCCGACCAAACTCGTAGGTCCGCCGTCCCACACCGCCCTCAACCGTCAGCTCCGGCGCCGTGCGGTCGTCCACCAGCACCCACGTCGTGCCGTTGGCGCTCAACCCTCCCACGTCCAACACCTCAAACGATACTCGGTACAGCGTGCCCACCATCGCATCCAGCGTCAGCTCCGCCAACGGCACTGCCATCGACTCCCATGCCGATGGGTCTCGCGCATACTCCCGCCATCGCGCCTCTGCATACACGGGTACCAGTACCCCTGCGTCATTGCCGCTCACGCGCTCCCCCAGCCCCGCCGTCAACTCGTAACGCCACGCCACAGCGCACAGCCGACCCCGCAGGTCCTGATTCGGTTCATCCACCGGCTCTGGGTGCACAAGGTCCACAAACATCGACCCCACCCCATACTCGGCCACAACCAGATCGTCCACCTCCAGTCGCGGCGCCCGCGTGTCCACAATCCGCATGTGCGCTGCCTCATGCGCCACGTTACCGTTGCCATCGTTCGCGGAATACTCCAGCCGGTATTCCGTGCCCGCCACTGCCCATCCATTGACAGCGGCTACCGGTCCAGGCTCCGGCATATCGCTCGCGCTCACCAGCCCTGTCAGGCCATTGTCGCTGCTCCCCTCCTGCCCTGTCATGGCCGCGTAGTACTGGTTCGCGCCCTCACAAATCGATGCCGGCACGCCCGTCGTCATCACCACCGCTCGTCGCTTCACGCTGGACCGCACGTCACCCGCCACCGCATCCACGGCGCTCACATTCATCGGGTCCTGCCAGCCTGGCCCTCGCTCAAAGTCCCACGGCTCGACATAGTGCAGCGTCAGGTTGGGCGCTCGACTATCCCGCAGCGCCACCCGCACCACCGTCACATTCACGTTGCCGCTCGCATCGCTCACGCGCAGCGTCACCGCATGCATGCCCACTGCTCGCGGATTCAGATCCGAGTAGTTGCTCGAAATTGTCTCCCAATCCAACACCCCGTCCACCGNATCCCACGGCTCCACAGTGTCAGCCCCGCCTCCACCTCATACACCGCCTGCAGGTTCAAGAACTTGGGGGCCACGCGATCTCCCACCACCACGCGCCGGCACACCACCGCCTCGTTCTGCCGCTCATCCAGCGCGCGGTAGCACACGGCATACACCCCGGCCTCATCCGTACTCACATTGTTGCTCGAGGCCTCCAGTGCCGGCCCAAGGCTCGGGTCTCCCGCATCCGTCACCGTGGCACCCGGGTCCACAAAGTCGGTCAGCATCTGCACAAACATCGGGTTGGTTCCCCGCATCGTGATCGTTGGTGCTCGCGTATCCTCCCACACAATTTGCCGCGTCACGGTGGCCGTATTGTTCGCCGAGTCGCGTGCCACATACACCACAGAGCCCGCCACCAGCGGCGTGGCCGCGTTGAAGCTGTGATCCACCACCGTCACAGAAACATTCCGGTCCACGTCGTCCGTTACATTCCACCCCGGCTCCACGTACGGTGTTCCCACCTCGCCCCGCCACACCGCAGGCCCCAGCAGCTGTATCACCTACACACCCGACAATGCCCATCCATGTCACCGGTTAGACACTGGACTTTGTATCATTCACCAACCGTGCCCCCATCACTACAACATGCCACCAATGTCTACAGGGCTACAACGCGCCAAAGGCAAAGGCAAAGGCAAACCGCCACCCGCCAACTCCTTTCCCTTCCCCCTATCCGCCCGCCACCCGCAGCCTGTTCCAGAGTAGCCACCCACAGCAGGCTCTACACTCACCGGTGGCGTGTCATCTACCACGTGCAAGCGTCGCGACACCTGGGAAGGCGGATCAAGGCCTGACCAGTCATCCTCCAGCCAGTACGTCACAACATGCGTCCCCACTGCCAGTTGCGTCGAAAAGTTGCTGCCAAGCTGAACCGAATCCATGGCCTCCTGATCCACGTACAGCTTGGCTCCCGGGTCAGACACCGACGAACCATAGCCCACCGTCATTGGGTTGGGCCCGTTGAGTATCAAGCAAGGCCCCTCGCCTGGAACCACGACCACGTCCAAGGTGCCCACCACCGCATTGCCCGCGTCGTCGCTGCTGGTGTAGTTGATCTCATATCGACCGCTAGTGTCTGTTGCAAGCAAGACCACAAAGAGGGTGAGAGAAAGCGCGCGCGTGTATGTGTGTGTATGTGTGTATGTGTGTGTGTGTGTGTGTGTGTGTGTGTGTGTGTGTGTGTGTGTGTGTGTGTGTGTGTGCGTGTGCGTGAGAGATTGAGATTGAGAGACAGGTTGAGAGAGGGACAGAGCGCGCGCGAGCGAGAGAAACGAAGAGAGGAAGTGGGACAGGAGCAATGGTGCGCCACAAAAGACAGCGACAACGTACCAAAATCAACGGCACCCGTCGCAACATTCTCCGAGGGCCACAATGTCCTGGAAACGCCCACAATCCCATCGCACAAATCACATGCCCCAGGCTCTGGCAGCCTCTGTGTCGACCCCAGCTTGTAGACCACTTCCTTTGGGAACGACATGTTGAATTCCGGTGCCGTGGTGTCTATCCATCCCCACCAGGCGAGCCAACGCCAATCGTGCCAATCGTGCCAATCGTGGCAACAGTCGCAACAGTCGCAACAACAGCAACGGCAAACACCGTTGCGCAAACCATGCAGTACGCCGTGAGTGATGGGCCGTGCTTGGAAACAGCCACGCCCAAGCCGACCCAATCGAAACGCTCAACCCACACCACGGAGCAGCAAAGAGCACCGGCAAGCAAGATCCTACCTGGTGCGCAGTCCTCAATCGTGATAACCCGTGTCTGTTGACACCACGCCAACTCCACACACAAATTTTCTCTCGCGTCGTACTCATACCCCACCTCGCAGCTACAACTGTCCCGCTCCTCTGTGGGGGTCCCATGGTCGGGACAGGCGGTACACTGCGTCGTCGCACCGGTGCTAAACTCGTTGCTCTCGCATGCCAAGCAGATGGTGTCGGCCGAAAGGGTGGCCTCGGCTGCCACATATTCCCCAGGGCTACACGTGCTGACAGTGGAGCACCGCCGGCTGTTTTTGGAGGTCGTAAACGTGCCTGCCATCATGGCCATCATCAAAGCAACCACAAGATCAACTACACAGTTTACACAGTTCACGGTCGGGAGAGTCTGTCCAACCCTAACCCTATAACCACCTCGGCCATACACGCCACGCTGCACATCGCCGGCCCCCGCACAAGTCACTCGCACCCACCGGCCACGCAAGCTATACACTCGGCATCCGACGTCGGCGTCGCTCGTACTGCCACATAACCTCCTGCCAAGCAATCTTGGACAGGCGTGCACGTCGCACTATTGATGTCGGTCGAAAAATAATCTATCGGCCCTCGCCCAGCGTGGTCGACCGATCACGAGCGAGTGAGAAGACGCATGCACGCCAAACCCGACAGCGCGTTGGGCAGGTAGCAAGACCAAGAGCCACAGGGACGCAAGCTCACTCGTGTTGCAATTGGCGCAGTCGGCGTCGGACGATGGTGTCGGCTCTTGTGCGACATACTGGCCCGGCACGCAGGTGCTCACGGGCGTGCATGTGGCACTGTTCACTTCAGAGCTGAAGGTTCCTGCCAGATACAAACCCAGAAATCATCGGATTACGGTCAGCTGTGTGCCAACAACGCCGCACTCCTTGTTCGACCGTCGCACATTGGGGCCGATCTACCACAACGCATGCGCCCAACCGGCTTCCCTACCTTCTTCACACGACGCACACACAGTGTCCGACATTGAAGTTGCGGGATGTGATTGATATTGCCCCGTGCTACACTCAGAAGCTTTGGAACAGACGACAGCGTCGTCGTTCTCGGAAAAAAATCCTAAGCAATCCTTTCATGAGCCTGGTCATCATCCAACTGCATATTTGCAAAGAGCAAGATCCACGCTCACCTTGGCTGCAGTTTTTGCATTGCACATTTGAGCTTGAAGTGGCTGGTGCCTCAATATAGGTGCCAGGTGAACAGCTGCTTGCCATTTGGCAAGAAGTTTGACCCACATCACTCGCAAAAGTTCCTACATATTAGCCCGTACTACATTAGCAAACAAACCGGGCCTGTGGTCGAGCCAAACAGGAGCTGCCATCGAGGGCAATTAAGGGCATCGAACCAAGCTCGCAAGTCTTGCAGCTTTTTGCGGAGAAAAGTGCATAGGTTCCTGTTGTCCGCACAGCGATTCGAAAGGAAGAATCGGTGAGCATTCTCATTCTTCAAATAGCGCGTCGCCTTCCTCTCGTGGTTGTGATGTCTTTCTTTTGCTCGGTCGGTAAACAGTTTGTTGGCTCAGTGTTACTTGGCTCGGACCCAGGGGTGCGATACGCACCAACGGGGCATGGAATGCACTCAGTACCGTTTGCTGAGTATGAGCCAGCTGTTGGAGCAAGATGACCATGAGACATCTTTTCAGTAATAATCTCGACCTTTGAAGCATCAAAGGGAGCATCGCCTTACCGCTACATGCATAACAAGTACAGGTCGACCCTACTCGTGCGTGGCCAGGCATGCAAACCGCGTCTACTCACAATGTCAACGAGCAGAAGATCAACGTCACAGACCATCGCGTGATGCGTGCTGCAAGGTAAAAGGTCAGCTGGATCACAATGGCTTACTTCCACAATCGGAGTCAGCCACACGCACGAGAGCGAAGACCGCCACAATTCCAAGGACCAGCCTTGAGAGGCCCATGGTCATTTGAAAGTCAGAGTCAATGGCCCATTATTCCTCCACGTCTCGTCGCAAAAAGCACAGGAGCAGCAGCGGCAAGTCGCCAACTTGACCAGCCGCGCGCGCGCAAGCCAAAGGAAGCGTCTGCTTGGCAGTGTGGCCACAGCTGAACGCTTTCGAGAAACCCAACGGGTGTCTGGCAACCAGCCTGGATTCATTGGATCGGACACACATGCAGACATGAGTCCAGCTCCATGCACCGACACCACAGACTTTCCACATCACACCACCAGATCTTCATCCCCCCTCCCTCTCCGCTTCCCACACCACCTCTCACACCACCTCTCCTCGCCATGACCCGTCGGACTCGATCACTCACCCGCTCTCTCTGCCAAAATGACCTCAAACTCTCTCTCACACACACACACACACACTCTCTCTCTCACTGAAGAAAGTGTGTGTGTGTGTTGTTTTGTCTTGACGGGTTTTTCTGGTTGTGTGTCTCTTATTGCTCTTCTCTCTGTCTCTGTCTCCCTCGTCTTTTTGTGCCTGGCTGCTCGTGCTTGTGTCTTCGCTTTTGTTGCTCTGCTCTTCCTCGAGGCATGTTCGTTTGATAGTGCTTTTGGCACAATCATGAGGGGCGGCAAGGTGTCCCTTCTGAGGAAACGCATCGTGGCGCAAGGCAAGCTCAAGGTTGAGAAGCAACTATCCACTTGAATTGTCAAGCGGTGGACTTTGGTTGTCAAAACGTAGGTACAAAGGCAAACACGAGGGTGCTGTGCGTAAAATAAAAAATCATGAATGTGTGTGGCATTGTGGTGCAACAAAGGCTTTGTCCATCAAACACCCTCACAGCCCAAAGCATGGAGGTCATCAAAGGCATACATGTCGCTTGGCTTGGCATCTAGACAAGCGAGTGGCCCCGTGAGAAATGACGAGCAAGGCACCGGAACCCACAAAAGAAACAGCTGACGGGCTCTCTTACAATGGCTGCCGATCCAGCGGCGGGCACAACAAGCAGGGCCGTCCTTGGTCTCGGGTGTGACTTCCCAGTACCTGTACAAGAGCCATTCAGAGTCCCATGACGCGGTGTTATTTGTCTTATAGGGCATCGAGAGAAACCCTCATGACAGTTCACTGCAATTGTTCGGGCAGCCAGTGCTTACCAGTAACCTTGGCTGGTACTCCTCTTGACGGTTCGCTCCACAGCGACACCCAAGGCTGAAAAGTACTGTCCACCGTGCTCGTCCACCGTGAGTTGTGCTGGAATGCCGGTACGCAACATGGCCACACCCATGCTAATGTCTGTAAAGTGCCCGCCGGCATAAGAAGCGGCATACCACAGAACTAAATGGGTGCAGGTCAAGCAGGACGATGGCTCGGACGCCACCGCAAACACATACCGTCAGATTGGCTACCAATGTCGGGCACAAAAATATGGGACGAATTATGCATGGCTGCTTGGCCAATCGCCGAGAGCGCGCCGCGCGACAGCACCATGCCCGCTCCACTCGAAAAATACGTCATCTGATGAGAAGATGCCCGCAGGTGAGGGGTAAATCAGATGAAAAGACAGGGAGGGGTGGCCCTGGGCGGGACTTCAAAAAGCTCTCGATGCGAAAGCATGCTTCCCCAACTCACATTTTCACCCTGATAGCGGCCATGAAAAAGACGTCCCATGGAAATCGGAGCCTCGGGATCTTGATCGGCCAGTTTTTCTCGCAGGTTGTCCACTAGCTGTGGGCCGAGAGAAGGGGCGTGTTAAAGAAGGAGGAGGAGGAGGAGGAGGAAGAAGAAGAGGAGATCGTGGACGAGGGAGTAGTGAAACTATTTGCTGCATAACCTCCTTCACTACGCAGGGGCCGAAAAGTGGCGAGACCAGATGGCGTACCACATAAGTGTCGCGTTCTGCTCGGAGAAACCAGTGGTGGGACTTGAGCTGCGTGTTATAAGCCCGTAGCCAGGCATGACGCGACTTGAACCACATGAGCTCGCGGGACTCGGGCCCGGGCAAATCAATCTTCCAGGTTGGAAATGATGGATGGGATTCACTGTTGACAAACACGAGTGTGTCACACCGGCTCCCCCATGTATCCATGATCTGACGGGAGACCCGTTACGTCACTGTGAGTCGATGAAATATACTGTTCGACCGACCAAGAAAACTAAAAGACACGACAATTCAACAAAATCAACGATGAAGGGTATACCGCTTTGCCAGAGGTGTAGAGATCGCTTGGCGTGACCATGACCATGCAAAAGAGCTTGTGACGATGGGATTCATCCTATCCAGTCCAGCCTTGAACATGAGCTGTCCGAAAGAAATATATTGATACAAGGTTAGACCCACGGTCATGCGTACGTACCGTGGCACTAAGGCTGGTACCTGCAGCACGCTGCTGCTGCTGAACGGTGGGGCTTGACTTGCTCGTGGCCACTTGTTGAAAGGGTACACTATAAGCGTTGACATGCCAAAACTGGTGACAGCTGCGCTCGCAGGGTTGAAGCTGCAGGGTTGACCCATCTAGCTCCTTGGGACCCCTACATCAAAAAGGTCAAGCACTAGGGTCATTGGCCAGGTTTGATGTGCTCATCCCAATGCTATAGGAGCCTGGTTTTGCTGAGAAAAAAGTCGAGTACGCCCTGCGATGAGCGCCAGCCAGACCTGTGGGCGGTGATGCATAGAGGCTGCGTTGATTTGCTTGATTGGCTGGACTTGAGGACAATCTGAGAGCTAACATTCCAATAAAATCGATCTTCAGCTTGAATGTCCCACGTCTGTAGGTCTGCATTGTCATTACAGGGCCTCAAAATGACCTCGGCATCGGCCTTGATGGCTGTCGGAGGCGATGATTGTTGGTGAGCAAGGCCGTGGACACGAGAGAACCTTTAGCCAAAGGGCCACAAAATGGGTCGAATCGACACGATGCTTACCCGAGGCCGTGATGCACATGTCACTCGGGGAAGTGATCTTGCCTTGCACATAAGACCACAAGTACCGAGCCTCAGCTGAGCAATAATAAGTAATGACTGTTTTCTGCTGGCGATCCTCTACATGTGGCGCACGCACACATGCCAGGTCGGTGAGGGGTCCGGCTCGCATTGCATAGCTATTCAAAGTGATCATGAGCCGTCTCGAACGTGGTCGCTCAGCGTGACGTCTTACCCAGACACAAGCCAGATTGGGTGGCTCGGATATAGCCCGAGTTGGTATCCACTTGTAGAGCATGGCGCAGCTTCTTTTCAGTCTCGGACAGATGCGCCTGCATGGGGTTGCCTTCTAGCTTTTTGAGAATCTGTTCTTTGCTCATGGTCGTCTGCAGCGGGCACAGGTGTGATGCGCGCACACTCAAGGATATGAGATGTCGTTCTCACCGAAATTAAAAAAAAAAAAAAAAAAAATACTGCAGGTGGTGTAGCAGGCAGAGAGTAAGTGCGAGGGCAGCGCAGCGTACGAGCTGGCGTTGAATGGCAATGGCCTGCTTTTCCTCGTGGACTTGAAGTTCATCGCGCAGCAGCCTCTGTTGGCGCTGGCTCTCGGCCTTGATTTCAGCCAACTCCTTGCGCAGTACGCTGGCAGACGCGTGTTCTTGCTGCAGTGGGACAAGCGTATTCAAAGCATGAGGCGACTTCCCAAACCGGCAGTCAAGCCAGCCAGCCCCATCCACATGTTACAAATCCAGTTGACTGCCTCACCTCGGAAGCCCACCAAAAGTAGAGCGCGCAAAACCCCAAGAATACCAGGAGCGGGCCCTGCCAGTGGTGTTGGCGTCGCGGGCCCATCCTGCCTTTGAATGCAATCGTGCACTTGAGCTCGAGCTTACAAATGCAAATGATGATTGTAAGAAAAAAAACAGAAACAAGAGTTGTTTTGAGTTTTTCCAAAAAGTGGTCAAGAGAGAAGGAGCGAGAGAGTCGGACGGACGGACGGACGGACAGACGGACAAACAGACAGGACAGAGAGTAAGACAGGACAGACAGTCAGTCAGGACAGACAGTGAAGAGACACCCGGCGCAAGGAGCGGAAAAGTCATCAGGCATTATGGGGTCTGCTGGCATCAATGCCGTGCCTTCTTTGCCTTGGAAAGGATGATGGCTGTGGCAGTGCGTTTGCCTCAGTGGGTTGCTGGTGAAGAGGTAAAATGATCCCAGCGTCAAAAAAAAAAGAGGCAAAAGCCACCATGGCCAGCTACCATTGCAATGTCGATTGTCAATGTACACGGAGCTGACAACAGCAGAACGACTGGTCTTAGTCGGGTCCGTAAACGATAGTGAACAAACAAACACTCGATATCCAAGGGGGAAATTTTTTTTCAAAACGGCTTAAACGAGCGAACAGCTGGCCACCTCAGTAGGGTGGGGTGGGGGCGGGTGGGCCAGCAAGCCTACAGAACAAGACCAGGGCTGAAGGAGAACTCTCACTTTCTTCCTGGCATGTCCGCGTCATGGGAGAACAGAGACCAAGGGCAAAAGCGAGCCAGCGCTTACACGCTCGCTTGGCTGCTGGTGGGGATGCGGGACAAATCCAAACCGGAACCATTGGGACTCAAAAGGTCCAGCAGGGGATCGGGGTCATTGGCGCCAAAGGTATCATCCTCTGGTGGGGTGCCCAGCTGCTCAATGTCGGGCAGATCGGAGAGGGCTTCATAGTGAATCTGGTTCTGGTGCGCAAACACGCGCAGCACGTGAGGGGTGGTATGATAGAGACGGCACAGCGGCCACTGACGCTCAAACATCACACACGCACACATACATACACACACACACACATACATACATACATACCGGGTTGGTCTCCCATGAAGAGGTGGCTGGAACGTTTGCACCCACAGACGTTGGGTGATTGGCTGCCGCCCACAGAGACTGGAGCATGTGGTCATCGAGGCCCCCATCTTGCAGTCGTTGGCGGCTTGAGTTGAGGCTGGTGTCAAAGTGCGTAAGCTCCGGCTCAATGAGATCAGAGACCCCTTGCATCTGCGAGTGATGAGGCGAAACCGTCAAAGAAGGGTGTAGAAACTGGGCAAGCCGACCCTTGAAGGCATTTGCGTCTGGTACCGAGCTCTGATGTGACAGATCCGCAACCCGATTTGATGCTGAGGCCGTGCGTGCCGCTCCCTATGTCACAATTCAGAGAGCACGAGTGTGAGTGGCTCTTGGAGAGCAGGTGGGTGGAAGCGCGTTCAGGCTATGCGGGCCTCGTGCATCAAAGTGCGCTACGCTCACCTTATCCATTCCCAGGGCACCAGCGCTGCTCGAAGGACTGGGCATGGTGACGTAGGGCACGGATGAGGTGGGGACGGTGGTAGTGGAAGTGGGGGCAGTGGGTGTCTGGAGTTCCAGATCAGTATCAGAGATGATTGGCAGCTCTTCGATACCAGGCAGGGACATGCCGCCCTCCAAGGCCAGGTGTCTATCGGAAGGCAAGCGCAGGGTAGGCAAGCAGGGACAGTGAGAAGAATCAGGGCGTGCGCCAAGCGCCAAAAATATACGACGAGCATTGGTGCATGCCACGTGAACGTGAACAAGCAGTCAAGCAGAGAGCTGAACCATGCCAAACCACGCTTTGTGGGCGACAGCAATAGACAAGGTCTGGCTCAAGAGAAGACAAGGACAACGGGTCAAGGGGGAACACATGACGATACTTGGGTCGTTTGGCACCAGGGCGGCCTGAGCCGGTCATGGCTGGTTGATTGCGGACGAGACGGGTCAGAAAGTGCATGATGCGGCCGATCATCACGCGTTGTTGCTCGTGGCGTTGGCGCAAAACGGTCACCTCTTGCCACAGGGCTTGGTTTTGGCGCTGCATATCGTGAAACTGGTGGGACATTTCATCCTGGTTGCCGCGCATGGTTTCAAGGTTTTGCATGACGGATTCCATGTCCTCGCGGGAGACTTTGCGCTTGGTATTGCTGGTGCTATCCTTGCGCTTAATGTGCACCAGCAGCTCGGGCCTATCTCGCTGCACGCATGGATGCACAAACTCCCACTCCTGGTCATTGCTACGAAGGCCCGTGTCCACGCCCACCACCTTGTGGAATCCATCTAAGGGGTGCAGGCCGGCGGCAGAGGTGAATGGCATTTCCCAAAGACAAGGAAGGCCCCTGATTGCCTGCGCGTTGTGGGACGAGAGGCCAGGCAGAGCAAACAGCGGCGACCGGCAGAAGCGAGAGGAAGCGAGAGGCGTACACATGTTGAGCTGGCGGACAAGGCTGGTAAAATTGCCGTGCTTGTAGTAGCGTGGAAGCACTTCTCGTGCCAGGGTGGTGGCGTTGTGCACTTTGAACGTCTCGCCCGCCTACACCATCACCACGACCACATGCACGAGCAGAGAAATCAGAAAGGGAGCGTGGGGCTGCAAGTGTGTTTCTCGTCTTGAAGCTGGGCTGTTCGGGCCGGGATCAAAGGGGGAGACAGGATACGTCGGTACGTACAGGCGTCCAAGAGATGAGGTGGTCGGTGCTGGGATCGTTAATCATGGTCAACAATTTGGAAACGAAGGCGGGCACACCCTTATTATCCTTGCCATCGGTCGACTCGGAACGATCGCGGGGCGATGATGCCGTCATCAGGCCATCGTCGCCCATTGCCACCGACGTGGGGACAGCCATTGTAGCAGTCAGGGCCGCCGTGTGCGGGTGGCAATGGGAAAAGACGGGGGGGGGGG